ATAATTGCTCTTCTGTCGCCGGATTGAATTTATAAGTAGAAATTGGAAAGTTGGCTGAGAAAAAGTTAGTATGGAAACCAAGAAGCCTGTTGACCTATCACTAAAAATTTACATTATAAGCCCAAGTTTCAAAAGTTAAATGCATACTTTTTGTGTGCCATTTGCTGTTTCAATAGATTTTTAGATCCTTTATATTAATGTGTATAAAAGTTGATAAAGTTCAATAAGAAATCAATTATCCTTAGGCTTTTATTGCTATTTGATCAGATGTTGTGATGACGACTGTCATTTGAAAACATACATAGGACTACATGATATTGGGAGCCATCATTTAGTACCAACCTTAACTCACTTGTAATTCACAGGGAGTTCCTTTGTGGCCTGTGTTTTGTTGGATCAATGCCATCATGACAAAGTCCTGTATTATGGTGCCGGGCTCTGGCCAATATCAGTATGTCAGTATGCCCTCTATGTCAATATGTCCACCTGGTTCTATTGTCGAATGTACTACAAGCTCACTACTGCAATAAATTGAGGGCTTTTGGGAGCCCCTCCCTGTAAGTATTATGGGACCAATACATAAGCAGCGACTAGTCGGGAAGAAATTATGCTGAGAAAGCTCTGACCTTTCTGTAGATTATCTGATTTGTTGGCTTGATCATATAAAGTGTGTGGAAGTTCAGGTTTAATATCATTACCTTGTATAACATACCAATAGTAATAACATTATCCTGAAAGTCAACAAGATAATATCTTTGGTTGATACAGATTTTACAATTGAGTACACCCTTATGCCAAAGGTCATACAGATGCACACATTGAGGCTGACATCTTTAAACAATGTAAATTATTTATGCTGAATTTGAACACTGTAACCTTATCTAAGACCGCATATTCCCAGTTTGCAACCTGCACTAGCTCGAAGCTATCTAATAACCGTTAACCTCTCATAAATCAAATACTGATCCCAAACAACCCATCTAGTAAAATGGAAAAACATCAGAAAGGTATTCAGCAATGCAGGAGATTCCATTTTGGGACCTTTGATCCTGTAAGATGGTCCATACGATGGTGATGTGACATTCTATTTCGTGGAATGTAATTTCCAGTAGAGCAGATGACAGCTAATCTATCAGCAGCTGAATGTCTTGATATGACGATATGCAAAGAACACAGTTTGGTTCTATACTGCACACAATATGTTTTATCACAAGAAAGAAACTGTTATTTATTGGTTTATTTATTGGTGGAGAATCTGATGTACTTGATTTTCTTACATAATGGATTTATGTTAGTTGATACCACAGTCCATTGTGTTATGATTAATATGGATTTACTGTTATTTCACCTTTTTTTCAGAATATAACAGTTAAGGTTTAGAGCTGGTTATAGGATGATCACCAGAATTCTGAATAGCCTTAGGAGCACATGCAAGCTAAAGCCATGACCATAAAATCAGATACATATCAAATGACACTTGAACACTTTGTGGGATATGCTGACGTCAAGGCCTGGCAGAAACATTCATACTATATCCACAGGCCAGTGACTTCTGTTGAAAACTGATAAGAAGTTCAGGGTGGGATTCATATCTATATCATGTTGTAAGAGATTGCCCAATTTATTTTCTCTGTCTACATAATATTACTGTAAGTCTCTTTAGATTCGCGGGGCCTAAAGTTCGCGGTTTCGGGAAAATGGACAATCCGCGGTATTTTTAGATTCGCGATTTCTCCTTGGCTATTTTTCAAAGAAAAATTTGTAAAGTGTATATTTAAAATAATAAAAGTTCGTGTTCCGGCATTTATCTCCTAAAACGCGGCGCAAAAATTTGTTTCGTGCACCGCGCGAGACTGCCGGCGGTATAGCTGACGATCGATCTGACGCACGTGTAAACAATTTTCTTTGTTCGGAAATAAGCGCTTAAACGCTATTTTCCACAACCACACATCGATACTCTAGTGAAGAAATGCATAATCGAAAGAATCTTTCGGGAAAATATATATTACTAAGAATATTTATGCCGTCTTCGGCGAGATTTTGAACCCGGAAGTATGCAAAGGTCGCCTACGGTTTTGTAGCGGCCCACGGTAGCGTTTCTATCCAGCAAAAAAAAAAAAAAAAAACGCCCGCAAAGCAGGGCGCAAAAGAGAACCAACTAACACTTCCCAGGTACCAGCAGTTATATTTTTCATCAAAATATTTGTAGATTTGCCCGATGTGCCCGCAATTTTCAAGCGCCCGGGCGCGCATGGCCGGCGCTCAGCACACAGAGATTTTTGTCCGGCGGTGCACGTTTGACACGGCCAGTGCCGCAGTATCGCGATTCGGTGTCTCATAATATTATAATTTTTTGACATCAGTATAACTTTAAAAATTTTGGTACTCAACATACGTACATTTGCTAAGAATGGAGTTGATTTGCAGTGATTTGTGTTTGTCGCGTGTGTTTGTGTTTCGCTTACCGTCGTGAATGCATGTGGGGAGGGGGGCGCACTTACGCAAAACATATTCGCGGGGAAATAGATTCGCGGTACAAAGGTCCCCGCGAATTCCGCGAATCTAAATATACCGCGGAAATTTGTAGACTTACAGTAATACATAAATGTGACAACTATAGGAAAGCAAGACTAAAGCACAGGTAAAACAAAATAGTGAAGTTATCTCAGTCAAGAAATATATGAAGAACAAGTACAAATTCAGCACTAAGGACAGCATCCATTTTGTCTCCGCACAAATTGTACATTCAAAAGAGATCACACTGTTGCAGCTAAGCATTCTACATTGTACATATACCTGGAAGCTTAGCAGGGCATATTGCTTTTTTCTTCTTTTCTATTCTTGAAGTGATATAGCAATGTGTTAGAGATCTGTAACTCCCATACTCCCTTGCAAATTTATCAGTATGCTAAACAGCAAATGTTGTACAAAATTGCCCCCTACTGAAGATACATGGTAATGCAGCTGTGGCATGTTGACATAAGACTTTTTACAGCATACCAGCCAAGCCAAACCAGTGAAATCAGCAATATAGCAATCCTGTTGAAATGGTCGGGAACTGCAGTCAAGTATTTTTGCGATGATGGTATATTTTGTGAACAGTGAATACTGATGGATCTTACAGTAATATTTGATGTAATTGTTTCTGATAGAAACACAGATACATGCAGTGTCGTTGCATATCAGGATTTGTTGGATGAAATATGTTGTATCTTTAGGATACCTTTGCATTTTTGCTTATTACATTAGGATACCTTTGCATTTTTGCTTATTAATGAAAATTTCTTGTCTATAGTAAGTGATATTGAGCTGAGTGTAGCACAATCTTAGACAATACAAAGCACAAATCATATATAGTTGCTCTACATGTAGCTAGTTGCACATAGTCATACATTGTGCACAATTAACTACCAACCAGTTGTGAATCCCAACTCCAAAACTCTGCAAGTGCTTAATTCATTTGAATTTTCAATTATCATGCAATGCAGAAGTTGCATGTGGTTGGCATCTACGGTGCTGATTGCAAGCAACTCCATGCAAGTAAAGATGCTTAAAATTTCACACAATGAATGTGTGCATTTTAAGATGTTCTCAAACTGTTTCCGCAACTTGAAAAGTGCAATTGTCATTGAACAAAATCATTGCCAACATGGCGATTTATCTTTCATAAAAACAGTATCAATCAGCACAGCTCTGTATTCAGGTGGAACTGGTAGAATTGAATGTGGGCATCCATTTATCACAGTCACTTCTAATCACATTTCCAACACAGGTGTTTTGACTGATAACTATTCTGACTGTCAAAAGCATGGCAAAATTAATTGGTTTTAATTTCCGCACTATGGCAGTAATAGCAGTGTTTTTCAAAGCAACATGAAGTAACTTTATCATTTTGAATAAAACAAGTACAGATAGCTGAAATTAGAGAAATCAGTTCCACTCCATATAATATGATGTTATGATATAGCTGTGTTGGAAAGTGTGTCCCTTCTATATATGGAATTTTTCAAACACTATATTTTGTCAAACATGACTTTCCCCTTTAATTTTGCTTTCAGTACAGTGCTACAATTATCATTTCTCTCCCAACACTTTCAAGATTGGACAATGAGCTAATAAGAACAGTCATGTATTCTCACTGACAGAAGTTATTTGTGATATTACCAGCTTTACAATAAGGAAATCAAATTTCTACCTGCTACTGATTCTCATTTCATATTCCACCTACTAATCTGTGATAACCTGGCACCAGGTTGTTCATTTTCCCTGGAGGGTTCCTCTGCCAATACCCTTTCCCTGGCCCCTATTACCTATCTTATGCCTTGGAAACTTGCCCAAATGCCTCATCTGCCACCGCATGATGCATAGATACAATTTGTCCTATCTACTTCCCATATAAACCATCAGTGAGGAGATCCGACTCGTGTTTGACGGTGTGTGAAACGTAAATCTAATCTGCAGTCGCCGTATCAATGACGTGCTGCTCTTTCTTTGGTAGAGCGGGAGCTAGCCCAAACAGGGCCACCCCCTTATTCATCAGTAACCTGTCATTACCGGTTGTGGGTGCACTGTGTCGTCACCTGAGGCCTGCCTGGGGTGTGATGATCGGGATGCACTGCAGCGTTCTGGTGGCCAGTATCAGGAGACCAGGGTCCTGCTAGCTGACCCCGCCCTCACCCTCACCTCATTATAATATCCTTGTCGATGCAGCAAGGTGCTCAAGCTGCCGGCTGAAGCAGTAGATCTCACTCGAGTGTCTGAAGATTTCATAAGCCAGCCATGAGGCCAAACATAGAGGAATCCAGTGTTTCCTTTACCGATGTGGTGTCTGCCTTTTCCAATAACCCTGGACCAAGGTAACCCGGTCTAAACAAATTTCTTACAGATGTTTCACTTGCACAGACCCAGATGGTTTGCTTGGGGGCAGTCAATTGGCAACTAATCCTGTAGGTTTGTCACTGGTGTGGTTTGTGATGGTGTCATTGCATTTTTTCCTACAGGGTACAGGTAGAGTTCTACGTCAACGAGAACACCTTCAAAGAACGTCTGCAGATCTACTTCATCAAGAATCAGCGGTCAAGTGAGTATTTCTTTGACATTTTCCCAAATGATTGATTTTTGTTTGGCGCTTGCCCAGAAAATTGGGACCTGGATAATCACTGTATTGCTTTACACATGAAGCATAATGATGATTGCAAAGCTGGGCCTGTATAATAGGAGCACGTATCAAAATTTGCATGCCGAATTGGGATAACCAAAAGGAATGTTTGAACATTGGGCGTTGATGAAAAATTGATTTTCAGTTTCATCTTGCGTACGGCATTGAATACCAAACACGCAGGACAAAACGACATGTCTTCGCATTTGGTAGGCTGCCATTTCGGTGATGAAATGCTGCCATCTGTGTTCAACACCTCATTTGTTTTCATCAGAAGAGCAGTGGTCCTTCACTGTTTGCCGTTTGTGATTGTATCATGTGAATGAAAATGATATATATTTGATTACAGTTGCAGATGTGCTCTATTTACAACAAGCATGCGCTGCTTTAATTCTAGCTTTTCTCATTTGGCCCTCAGTATTTCAATGTCATTAAAACAGCTTTAAAAGGTCTCTTAGAATTGGGAAATATGAGGAAAATAAATCTGATAATAAATTTTAAAGTACTATTTACAATACTGCACCGTTCCTGATATTATTAAATTGCCTTTAAACCAGAAAAGTTGCCATGTTTATTTGTAGGAAATTTTCCAACTCTGATCTAGCTTAAAATTATCCTCATTATTGATTGTGGTCTTGTGCAGTGTTCTGTAATGTATATGCTAAAAGCCTTCATGCATATTTCATAATTTTGACATTTCAGTTCACCTTCTAAAAATTATATTCTGAACAATGTATCAACGGTAAAGGCTTTGTAATATTCCATAATATCAATGATTTGAAATGTGAGCAATAAAATGAAATTTGCTTTGCATGTACCTGCTAGGAAAGATATTGCATTCATATCATTTTGCTTAGCATTTTCTATGAATCATGTGTGGTAAATTAAGCGGTTACTCCACGAGGTTTGTCATTTTCCTGTAGTAATCATCACTACCAGATAAACATCTCAGTTAAGTATGAAACCCATGATAGAACAGCTATGGTTAATTAACTTATCAATTATGCCATCAGTCAGCATCTTCGAATCATTAAGTATTCTATTGATTGAGCATTACAAGAAACACGTTGTAAGTAACCAGAGTTTTACCATTTGTATGCGAAGCTGAACACAAATCTTTTGGAAACTTCTCCTAAGGGCTTTTCACCTTTCACATTTGTGACTTGAAGCCGCACAATCTTCTATCAATCAAAAGGCTGACGTTTTCCCTTATTACATCCCTGGAGCGACAACCACCTTCCCCTGAAAGGCTGTGATTACATTAAACGGAAGCGTTTGCCACATCCCTTCAGGCAGGAAACAGCGGAGGGAAAAATCAGTCACCTGTTCACAAGCAAACCTGACAACTTCTGGCTTAATATGTTCAGCACCTGACAGAATTTCATCCCTGCAAAGCTGCGATAAGCTACTGAATGTGACTATAGAGTCACATCGATAAATTCTGAATGTCAAACTCTGACGGCACAGGGTCCCCCAGGTGCCACTTCAAAGACACACGAAGAAGGCAGGGGAATTAAAGATTCAAGCCGTGGAAACCTGCTGGGGGAATTACTTCCTCAAAATTACAGTGAGCTGTCGTGACAGTCCACGCAATTATGCCTAACAGTATGGGACTGGTAGAACTGCATGTGGTCTTAGCTCTTTAGAAGAAATTTAAGCCTAATTTTCAAAGAGTGTGCATAGAGTTGAGGTAATATTCATTTACAGCAGTTTCTCAGCATACCCTAGCAGTTTTTTATGAAGACTTATAAAAATATCACAATGATATTGAAAAACGTTGATGATTATTAAGCAAAAGGGGAAAATATTGATGGCATTCTATGTGACAATATCCTCTTAGAGTATTAACACTACCAGCAGCCAGGACACATCTCTGTGCTTGTGGCATGCGATTAGGATCTCAGACTTTTTATTCTGGAGTGGAAACCTCCTGGGAAGAGACCCCTAGGTACAAAAAGTAATGTAGACCTAGAATGAGATGGACTGATGGACTTTAGAAAATCCTGATAACCTACAGGGTGATGAACTGCGTTATCTTAAGGTTGCAACTAGAAAAACATTTTCCTTTAAGAGTAAGTGCCATGGAGCTGTGTTAAAACTTCACAGCTTTGAGAACCCCAATCCGTACTCTCAACAGACAGACCAAATGTGGTCTCCAGGCAATTAGGTGAGCAGGGTGCAAACCAAAGCCCTGACCTTTGGCAATGCTTACTGGGCAAAAATTACTTACTACATGTGTACATCTCCTGAATCCTGTGATCAGACAACCAGAACTATTTTTCTGTGAAGTCCATTAAACCACACAAAGCCAATTATTCCAGATATTCTTTTCTATGTCACAGCTGCTTCACAAACCATTAGCCTCTTCCTCTGGATGTGTCCGAGTCCAAACAGAGTAGAAAAGCATTTCTTCAATCATAGTGATGGGATAGCCTCTATATGACCAATGGCATATTGAGCATTCCCCTAAACTGCTTTATTTCCAGCTTGCGGCTAGAAAGAGATATAATGTTACCAAGTGCCAAGATAACAGCAGATAAATCAGCACCAAGGATATCACCACTATCAGTTATGTAATGCCAAAAACAGCCATAAGTAAAGAATGGCAAAAGAAAAGTATTGAATGTAAATTTTCTGCATCCCATGTGTTTTTGTCATGTACAATGGACATTCAAGTAAATTGTTTCTTGCAGGAGTAGCGTGCTAAATCACTTTAACACCAGTAGGTCGTTATTGGCACCACAACGATTGCTCTGTGGAAGCTGTTGCGATGAGATTGGATCATTCATCACATGGGCTGGAATCTAGAACGATGGTTCAAAACACTTTGTGTGCCCAGAATTCAACATGTATAAACAGTATTATGTAACTTGTTTTAAGACAATATCACAGAAAAGATCTCTTCAAAATTTGTAATTTTTTGTTCTTTTCATTACTGCTAGCCATTTAAACCTGCCAAATTGAAATACAAGACAAATATTACAGGAGTGATTGTAATGCTCTAATTGTCTCCTCTTGTAATTCGTCATTTAGAAGATCACCAAAAAACTGCATTTCTACTAAGATCACAAAACCCACTAATTATGCAGAATGTAGGACTATTCATTATCCACTGCCTTCAAAGAAGAAGTCGAACCCCATAATAGCTAGCGTAGTAGTAGAAGTAGAAGTTTTTTCCAGACAGTTGTTACCTGTCTTCTGTTACTGTATTGCAATGTGTTTTATTCTTGATTGTAAAAGCAATTAGCCTTCGGGCATGATTTTGCGAATAAAGTTTCATATATATAAACCACACTTGTTCATGGGCAACAGGGGTTTGTAATATCAGTGGGTTTGAAGTTACAATTTCTAATCTTCTTAATGGAAAAGTTGCAGGTCAAAACTTACAGGTAGTTAAAAAGCACATTCAAGTGTCTATGGGCTATTACACACCCACTGCTGCATTACATTAAGGAAGTCACTGTACACCATTAACTTTAAGTCACTGACGTTTGCCTGTCTAGTCATTGTGACACAAAAGCCTTCAGGCCATCTTGTGTGGAATGACTTTTATCGATTTCTTAAACTGGGGACATGGAGAACAGGCTTAGCTCAATTGTCTTGAAAATGGAAACAATAAAATCTTTCAGTTGCAGCTCAAGAAATCTACTAGACGTTATCTGGATAAACACACTCTGCAAGTTTGAAGGGTAGACATTTTTGTCACTCTCCCAGAATTTATGAGATTCGGCAGTCAGATTCTGAAGTATGAAGGTTAGATCTATCAGACATACAATATAGGCAAGCATTAAGTATTTGGTTGCCTGCACAGATGTGGCCTAAAAAAATAAGCGTAGTTCAGAATTTTACAAGTTGATAGCTTGTTGTCATTATTCATCAATGCCAAGTAAATTAAATGGCAAAATATGGACCATGATTTGTTCCTCTTAGATCAATATTACATGTACATGTATGACAGGAATGTACACACCACATGTATCAACTGCTTTATCTAGGACTTTGGTTCAGAATTTCAACCAGAATTATGTGGCTGCATATTTGATTTCAATTTGCAAGTAGCAGACATTGCGAAACATTACTACCAAATATATCTCCATGCATGTTATCCTTTTAATGACAATCAATTTAAAGTATTAAGGCTTTGGACTCCATCCATTTGGCACTCACATTACCTATTGAAGGAAATCCCTCCCAATTACACTCCAACTAGCACGTCGGCAGATCGTACTGCGCCTTCGCGAAACCCGTAATGTATTGTACATTCTAAGCATTTCAGCAGAATGTCTCATATAAGGTTGTATTTGCTCATATAAGGTTAGCATTTCGACAGTAGTTTCCAAATATTGTTTTGGAAAGAATATCCTCTGCAACAGGAAAAATTCTGATGCAACGTTGACCAAAAACCCAACGAAAAATGCGAAAATACGGTGTTCTGCGCAGGTGCAATACGTTCTGCCGACGTGCTACTCCAACTCTGGGGATTTATAAGAAAGTGTACTTAGAATGTTATATATTGGCTAAACAGTAGACACAAATAAATCTATTTCTTTATAGATCCAACAAAATTCCCAGTTTCATCATTTTATCAGTTTATTAGTTAGTTAATGTAAAAAAATTAACTTCAACCATAATGCTGTACTATACTTCCAACCTATACTTTGCTTCTGACATTTATTTTCCATTTCCTCCCAAAAGAATCTGAATGTCACTCGCCTGGATTTTAAATATCAACTTTGCAAGGGAAATGCTATCTTGTTATAAGAATGTCACAGCTTGTATCAATGTATTACCTGGGATTGCTTTGAATGCGGCATTGCTTTCAGCTTGTAGATCCTTCCACACCTACTGGCATGTGGTGGGATATTCATGTTACCCAAGAGATTTTCGTGCACACAGTCTGACGCAAATGAAGTTTTGTTGTTCACTGAAGTTTGTCCAGGGTTTTTCCTCTAGTCCAACTCTTTTAAAGATACTTGCAATGCAGCTTAAATTACAATGATATGATCACAGCACAAATATCATTCTTAGGCAAATGGTTAAAATCTATTGGAATCTATATTGATGATCTTCGGGAATTTTTATTTCATTTACATGTTGTGACATTACACCATTGAAAAAATGTATGTCAAACACTTAAAGCTGACTACTTTATAGTACAGTACAACTACAGATATTGACAATAATCCTGTATATTGTGGCAACTGAGGTTTGACCAAGACAACGACAGTAGAGTTTTGATTAATCTTCAAAGAAACACTCTTCAAAAAAGAGAGGTACTAGTAACAATAGAATTTTTTCACACAGTCACTGTGTTTAAGCAATAGGAATTTTCCATCAATTCTCAAGGAAAAGAAAACCCTTGAGATAAAGTTTTGATTGATTGTGTTAGTTGCTATCGGTAAGTTGCTCCCCTGCTTTTACCTTATCGATAATGGTGATCTGTTTATCTGTACATGGGAAGTGGTATCCTGGTTTGAGATTTCATCAGTTTTCTCCAAATAGCCCCAGCTTCTTTCTGGGAACCAGAGATAAGACTTGTAGATTGCAAACCAATGAGTCAAACCCAGCATGAGATGGCAACACACACAGTTTTAGGTCAGATGCCTCAAGATACTGAAACTTCTTACTGGCAAAGTACTTATTCCTGAATTAGATTCCAAAATTATATACAGTATCAGTGAACATGTTACACAGTAAAAAAAGCTCTGTCTTCTTGGATTTCTGATTAAAAGTACTAAATATTTCCTCTAGAAGGATGTAGAAATGATGAACTTTCATCAGAAAAGATCTACATGATGCATGGATTCAATGTACAATTTAGCCACCAAACATGATTTATGCTGGGCAACATAATGTTACACTTCCTTTTGAGAGTAGGCGGAGAAATAACCCAGCCAAAGCCGTCAACTTAGGGAAGTTATAACATCATCCGTTATGCTCAGAGCGATGTTGGGCGTTGAAGTCTTACATTGAAGATGGGTACGTACGTGCTCAGAATCTCCTTTTTATAATAAGTGACGCAGGTGTGATGTTGACATGGCCGATGAACCTGCATCACTCAACATCAGTCCGCCCTTATTCTGTCAACATCTTTCACACTGTACATCTTTCAAATTCTTATACCCTTGTTGTACTTTGAAAGTGACTATTACTTATACTGGTCATGCAAGAGTCAAGAGTGGAAGACAATCACTATACGTGATCTACATTGTGTATAAGGGTTTCATTGATTTCTTTCGTAAGAAAGCCCAGAAGTGCTGCTGATGAAATTAGAATCTGAGCTCCTTCACTCAGGCTTTTATCTCTGAAATGTTGAAGAAGATGGAACATGCTGAAGGTCAAATTAAGGAGCAGCAACTTCGACCTTAGATCCATTTCCAAAGTCTTAAGGGTGACACGTATGAATCAAACAAAGTGGTATAAAGTGCTCATGCTCTGACATTGCCTTTGACATTCATGAGGTTCAACTATTTGGAAATGTATGTTTTTTAGTTGGTAGAATTTATTCCTCACTTTTCAAAAGTTTGCATTGTCTTGAGATGTGAATTGTGAAGTTTTAAGAATCCATCAAGAGCTTTGTTGACAAGACAGATGTTGCTCTCTCGGAGAAGCAAAGAGCAGAGGGAAATGTACATGGGGTATTTTGAGAGAAAATCCCTGGTTCCTTCTAGGCCTAATCCATCTGCAAGTCTCTGGCATGACAAATCAGTCAATGAAGGTTAGTTTTCACACTCAGTACCAAAAGGGTGAGGTAGTGGGACGTGCACAGAGTGTTAAAGGCATCACAGTCTTTATAATATTGACACATACTGTCCTATGTGAGCACATTTGAATCAGAATGTCATACATTGGACATTTAAAACTGCAGAAACAAGCCCCAAGATTAGTCCTTCATTTTCTGGGTGGTACCCTGAAAATTTATCCAGGTCCTTCCAGTAACCGTTTTTCGTAAGAATTTTGGGCATTTTGTCGGCATTCATGAATGTCAATATACATTGGGACAGTGTTATTTCAAGTTATTAGTATGTAGATAAGTGACTAGAATATTAACTGAAAAATCTGGTTTCCAAGCCCTAAAAGCTGCACTGGGTGCCTTTAATAGCTCTGTACAAGCTTTTGGAACCCCCATTTCAGCACCAAGGACATCACCCAGCAGCGGAGGGGCAGGCACACAGACAGCAGGAGCACATAACTGAGCCCATGGGAAATGTTACTTGTTACAATGTATGCTCAGACCCTTCAATGTTTTAAAAGAAAAGAATTTTAGATACACTGTAACAGCAGATTCTGTGTTTGAATGTCGATCAGAGGACCACACACACGTCTCAGAATGTCTCCAAACTTTGAGATGAATGAGTTTCTTGTAGAGATTAAAAGATAGTCCGTTGTTTGATGTTCCTGATCAATATCAGATTGCCAAGTGGTCTGTGAGTCCATTTTCTGCCAGAGAAACCAGTGGCTTACAGTTAGTTAACATCCATTAGGCTTTCAATTCTGACCCGGGTCAAAGAGGGCAAAAGAGCAAGTGTCTACTAGATTAGCATGTTCTTAAAGTTTTAACAGACATCTCCAAACAGTGCATGGTTTACCCTTCTACAAGAAGAAATGATTCTGCATCACAGACATCTCCAAACAGTGCATAGTCTGACATTGCCATGGAGCATAAAGGGCAGTGGAATTAGAAACCACAGCAAGTCAGATCATGTAGAGTTGTTCTTTTTCCCTGTCCAGAAGAGGCAATTACAGTACCAGTATGGTTTCCAGATGTTGCTACCCATATAGATCTAGCGTTACGGTAATATGATTCTCATGGGAGTTTCATCCTACTGCTCACATGAATGAAATCAAAGGAAAATTCCACCTGTCTCTCTCAGTAGGAACAAGGAATAGGATATTGGTTATTACATGATATACACAGTCCAGTAATTTCACCATGGTACATTGCACAATCTGCTTAATAAGTGTGAAATTAGCCGACCAAGGTCAATATCAAAGTGGGGAGATCAGCTGGACTATGGTAATTTAATGAGCCAACCTTGCTGGTAGCTCATTATTGCAGAAAGGGTTGAACTGACCAGGGACCAATTATTGTTCATGGCAGGCCCCTATGTTGATTCAGAAACTTTTACTTGTTGCTTTTGACTAAAGTAGTCACCAGATTACTTATGCTGACAGTAGCATTATCTGATATCAAGGAATGTTGGCCAAATTTATAATATAGGTTCACTAAGTTCAATAATTGATGAGAGATATCTATTTTTACATTATACGGGTCAAATGACGGGGCATTCTATTTGAAAGAGTTATAATTCATTTTGAAGTCTATGGTGGTATTGATATGCATGCAGTCTCAAGTTGTTCAAAAGAGCTTGATTTAGGAAATTTTGTATGCCTTGTCGTTGCCAAAAGTGTGATATGGCTTGAGTGAATGTGAATTTTAAAGCCAAACCTTACATAACAGGCGCCAGTCAGTCTGTATTATCTGCCAAAAGTTCTCCCCAAGTAATCCCTTAAATTCTGCTTATTACATTTTACGATTCAGAATGTCATTATGAAAACAGCTAGGGCTTACTTTCTGTGAGTCAAATGGAAGGCTGATTTCTTATCTTGAGTGCCTTCTTTATCTCTGTCTTATTCTGTAACAGCAATGCCTAATTGGAAACAGTGAGTTGTAAGATTATTTGTCAGACAAATAAACTTGTAATGGAAAAAAAACCCAGAATGATCTAAAAGTCACTCACAGTGACTAGTAGTCTGACTTGTCTATTTCAGGTTACCTTAACGTATCTCATCAATTTATCTGTGAGGCTTTCTTTTTTTCTCAGGTCTGCGTATTCGCCTGTTCAACTTGGTGATCAAACTCCTGTCCTGTGTGCTGTACGTCATCAGAGCCTGTCTAGATGTGGACCCAACACAAGCGAACTGGTACGCACCGGTAGAAACTGGCTACATGTATGTGTAGATATTGATTGATTGATTTTGAGAGGATCCATTTTAAGGTTTCATTCAAAGCCCAGGACCATTTTAAAGGACACACTTTCTCTAGAATGTGGACTCAGAACATTGGGGCAAAGATGCCTGATGGTATCGAGGTGAAACTTTTGTGAAACTAAATTATCAAACTCAGTCAGTTTAAAAGGAAAAACCCATCATTCAGCAAAAAGAGTCCTTTGAAGACTGTAAAAGACACTTTAATTGGCAATCACTACACGTGTACATCCATCAAGAAGGGATTATGAGATAATTTCTCTGGCAGATGATGTGAAAATGAAATTACTGTGCTTGGCACCAAAAGCCTGTCTTACAACATAAGTTCAAATGGCAGGTTGGCAGGTAGCTGGCCTCATCAGAAAGAAAATTTGGAACCTTTTTGCCATAAGTCTCCATGATATCGAATCGTAATCTCATGATTAGAAAGCTGTCTTTCAAACTCTCTGGACTGTGACAAAACTCATATACAGTACAAAATGTGAAGCAGGTACTGGTACAAACTATATAGCGTGAGTTTTACAATAATTCAACAAAATATGCCAGAATGTGTCAGACTCTTAAGAGTATACAATGTACAATATATGTGACACTTTTTGCATCATTGCAGAATATAGGAATGGTAATTATAGTGAACACTTTGGTCCAAATACAATGTAGACACTCAATCTACATTATGTAGAGTAATTCCTTAGATATCTGTACATTGTATGTACTGTGTTTGATACCCTTGCAGCCATGGCTGTAATAACACTATCAACTACACATGGATGGAGATCAACTGGGCCCCCCTGGTGTGGGTCAACAGGTCCTCCCCTACATGGGGCATACAGGTAAGGCAAGGGGTAGTCCTAGTAGCTTCATTAAACATGTAGTTCTTATGCTTAGACTGAGTACTATGTACTTAGAAGATTGCTACTTGAATTGATGGACTATGACTTGTACTTAACTTATTTAATTCATCAACACAAAATGTATATTGGTTTATACAACATAACACAATGCAATATAAGGCATACAATGTCATGAACATTATGCAGTCAGAATTGACTTAATACATGCATGTTTTTGTATTTGCTACTTGGTTAAGTTAGAATATTGGTTGTAGAAAAAGTTGTTAGAAAATGACAATGAGTTGACTTAGAATTATTGAATGTAAATAAGGAATAGAAAGTGGGTATGGCAGTGCTGATCCCTGTTGTTTTCAGGTTGCAGTGGCAATCATCAGTTTTTTGGAGACCATCCTCATCACATACCTTAGCTATAAGGTAAGATATTTCAAATCTAGGGTAATATTTCTACTATGTCTCAGTCTGTATAGCCAATCAATTAATCAATCAAAATATAGGTTAAATCTATATTGTTGAAGTGTTCTGTTCCTACTTATCAATGAATTTATGACTGAAATGCTGCATTCTAAAATCTGTCCAATATGAACTTCAGTAGTTACAAAATGTAGATACTAGAGCTGTGTACCTAAACAAATTTTAGGTACAGGTACAGGTACAGGTACACAGGTTTAGGTACAGGTCCGGACCTGAACCTGTACCTGAACAATATTCGACCAATTTATATGCTCTTCTGAACTCCTTCAATAACAAAAAAAAAACATAAATAAACTTGATAGTTAAGGTTTATTCTTTGTTTATGGCGAATGCTCAGATAAAATATAGGCTATATATATGTTTTTGTTTTCATGAACACACTGTCCTTACACAGGGACCCATTGTTAACCAGCTATTTACACATTTGAGGTCACAAATAGGCATAAAATTGGTGTGAAATTGTTTAGGTACAGTACCGGTACTGAGGGATTAGGTATTTTGGACCTGTACCTAATCAATTTTACCGGTACAGTATCGGTACTGCGTACCGGTACACAGCTCTAGTAGATACGATAGGAAGTAAGACTCATGGTGTATATACTTCAGGCGTTATGCAAGACAAAGGTGTTTTGAGATAAATACAACAAAGACTGTCCCAACATTTTGTATGTAATTCTATTTGGGCTTTTCACCTTCCCAGGGCAGTCTTGTTCAGTCTGTGTTTAACGTCAGGTTCCTGCTAGAGATGATCAACACAGTTCCCTTCATCGTCACAGTAAGTACAGTCACTCTTCTCCTAATGTAATTAAAATATTAATTAATATCATAATTAGCATTAAACAACAATAATTAATATAACAAAGAGGCAGTAGCTTGCATGCACTATGTTTCTTTCTCTTTTGTTATGTGAAGACCATTACAATGCCAGCTGTGATTTTTACAATGGATACATAAGTTTTGGAACCTAATAACAGTTTCAGCACGAATTTCATATCATCACTATCTTACCATCTTTATTATATCCATAAATCAAGGAGGCTGTGTGTTTGGTACTTTTTATTAGCCATGTATAAGCTGCAAGAACAACTGCAAACGTGATGAACCATAACTGGGAAGTAATTTTCATTGATGTGTAGCTTGTGAACCATGTTGCAAAAGTGCACACTCAGATCATTACAGGCATCAGTCTCAAAGGGATACAGAGGCAGAGTTGTCATTCAAATAAGTCTGTTTTATGAAACTTAAACTCTGTTCTTAATACAGCTCAGCTCTTTGAGATTCTGTAGAAAATTTCTTGTACTGTAATGAATTTAATCTATCATAAATATATGTTTCACAAGCTATTTTGGAAGCTAAAGTCTTATATTTAAATACATGTAGTTACATTGGGAGGGTCAGGTTATATCAGTGAGTGACATTTTGTGAAGTCCTCCACATACAAATGTAATATAAAGGAAGACAAGTAGAGGAATATTTTTCAGTCTCCCAATTCCACAGTGAGTGTTACATCAGTAAATTACCATATATTTTTAAACCTAACAGGTGTGTGTACGATAATGGTTATAACATTACCATTTGAGTAACAAACGTTTGGACAATCAATG